GTCGTAGAGGTAATATTTGACAGATACTAAAACTGTAAGGTGTTATTGTACAGTAATAGCATATCATACAAGTAGTAGAGGCAATATTTGACAGATACTAAAACTGTAAGGTGTTATTGTACAGTAATAGCATATCATACAAGTAGTAGAGGCAATATTTGACAGATACTAAAACTGTAAGGTGTTATTGTACAGTAATAGCATATCATACAAGTAGTAGAGGCAATATTTGGCAGATACTAAAACTGTAAGGTGTTATTGTACAGTAATAGCACTGAGAAGCAGTTAATGTGATTTGCATACACTGTTACTTACTACATTGCACCCTGTGTTTGAGACAAAAGTATGTCAATTCCACTATCTCTGGCATCTGATTTCAGGATGAATAGATAACTTTTCATAAGGATAAGCCAGGACCTGTGCTTTGACTAAGGTGTATTGCATTGTCTAGAATGCATCTTGAATGTGACAATGGACAACATGTTTATTGTAAAACTGGATCATATACAAAAGCTCTGACTGTGATTAGGCAATAATAACTCTAACTTTTTACCATTGGGATCCACTAAAACCTTCATTGTTCATCCATAGGAACCTTCTTTCAGTTGCAAGTTTAGTACTAGCTATTGTGCTATTTACAGAATTTCTCCACTTGGGTGTTACTTTTCATCTCCCCATAGTATACTTATGGCCTGCATCTTCATGCACCTCATACTGCTTGTACTGAAATAGTGTTAAAAATATTTAACATTTGGGAAAATTGGATTATCTACCAATCCATTTTTTTGTTGTACTGTTTGAATTCAGTTTCATTATGAAAATATAGATTTTGTATTTAAATATGTTTTCGCAGCTGTTAATAATTGTCAAAGTATGGACATTTGGATTTTTTTCTACTATTTACTGATTACATTGATTATTGGTAATTTATTTCTGATTAGTTGCTTTGGTAATTAATGATGATCTGATGTAGTCATCCATCTTACAGTGTATAATATATCTACCTGACTTTTTTTATATTCAACACAGATTATCATAGATATTAAAAATATGCTCTAACACTTAAGTTAATTCAAGATAAGGTAGTGCTGTTCGTAAGACATAAACTGTACTATTTTTAACCTCTTCATGTTTCTTGAAGGTTAATAAAAGTTCAGAGATGCAGAAGTTAAATATTATTTGGAACACTTGCCAACATGTATGGCTATCAAAGAATGACCTTCAAAGGTACTTGTAGGGTTTTTTATACTGATTCCTAAAATTATATTAGAAATACAGTATCATGAACACCCAATTAATGCATATTCGTGAGCAAAGAACTGAAATATTTTTGCTTAATGTTTTAATTATTTATATAAATCTTACATATCCATTTATTATATTAACTGATTATTAAAAAGTGTTTAAAGTATATTTTTATATATAAGCTAAAGACATTGTTTGGTTAAAGCCTTTATATTGCAGAGAAACCACAATTACCTATAGTTTCATTCAAGCAGAACTTACTTTAAATGTATTAAACAGATAGAAATAGAATTAAAAGAACTAATTATGTATAGGAAAATAAAATTACAAAGTCTGAGATTATAAATTATAAATGTGTCCATTATTGACATCAGTAATGCCAATTTCAGACACTATAAACATTTGTTTATTTTCTTTCTTAGAGCAGACAGAAAGAGGGTATAATTTCTTTATAATTTTTATTTATTCATTGTTATAAACCATGATTTGATTAAGTAAATTGGAATTAACTTGGGAAATTTCATCAATAAAGATTAAGTTAAAATAAACAATTTCATTGGAGTCTTTCTTTGTTGTCATGTTATAGCCTGATACCATAAATAGATTAGTTTTGAAATTTTAATATACCAGAAAAATGTGTGTAGTTTTAAAGTAACTTTTTTTCAAGAAAAGTATCGAAGAAGTGACCACATTAACAGATATTTTTAGAAAATAACACATTTTAAACAAGAATGCTTGTGTCACATGTGAAAACATTCTAAGATCTATCAAAATAATATTTTTGGAACTCTTTTAAAAAAGTATAAAGTTGATGTTAATCTTATTCACAATATTTAATTAGTTAACTGAATTGCTTACCAATCTAAGTAATCCTTAATTTTCTCATTCTGTTTATGTATGTGTGTAATGCTTTTGTATTAATGTGTATTCTATTAGTGTGAAAGAGAGAATATCAAATGTCAGCCATATTCCTGTAGAAATTGCAAAAATTCCTCTTTCTGGAAAAAGATCTACTGGGAAAGCAAAAATGGTATATGTTGTGACCTGTATTTGGATTTGAAAAATAATACTAAAACAAGGGACTGATATATATATATATATATATATAATTTTTTTGTAATATGCTTTGTATAGTTAGAAAAATGTTATTATTTTAAACATAACATATAATAGATAAGTAATCTATTATAAGTGATTATAGAATACTTTAAAATTTAAAAGGTAGAAATTTAAAATAATGCATTGGGATTTACTACGAGATGTTGGTTTTAATATAAAATGTAAAGTTAATATTTAATTATACTGTGTTTTGTTGGAATAATAATAATGCCTTTATTACTGTCATAAATAGTTAGGGTGAATTACATTTGTTCGCCTGTCGGCTAGACTACCAATTATAAAACTTACAGTCTAAATGAGTTGGAGCTCAATTTCATTTTGAGGATAGTATTGACCTTCTCTCTTATTAATGTGTTAAAATAATTTATGGTAGCAAACTGCATGATATTTTTGTTTCAAAATAAAAGAAGTTGGTGTCTTTGATTTATTTCTTAGTTAATCTCTTCTTTTAATACAGTTCTTCATTATGAATTCTAAATTTTCTTTTTCAGATATTGAGTCTTGTACTACAGTAGGCAGTTTATCTCCTTCAGTTCACCATTATACAAATATCTATAAGAGTTGGTGTTTCTTTTTCTGATGCGAGATGGATATTTAAAAAATGAGGTTTTGACATCTCTCTCTGTTTCTATGACACATAGATTTCCTGCTGTTTTCTGGTTTAGGGTCTAAGACCTTCCCAGGAGGTTGAAGTTTTGAAGGCTTATTCTAGTGATTTTATCTTCACTTATCAGAAAAATGTGGAGGATTTTGCCTCTCACTTCCTTCCTCTGATTTACAGGGAGCATTTATCTTTTATTTGCAGGATCTTAGGACTCGACACTGAAGACTTAATAATCAGATGGCCCTACTGTTTAAATCAATTCAATAAATATTTCTATTCATGCATATTATTCTATGTAGACTAGAGAACTCTTGAGAACCTCTCTTTTGCTGAATTTTTGTTTTTGGGTGGGAAGCAGACTTACATCTTCCCCACCAGCATCCCTTTTTACTTATAAGGACTTTGAGGTCTTCGACCCACTTTGCTTGATTGTTTTAGATGCAACA